ATTATTGGGGCTTTATCAGGCTCATCAAATCCTTAATCACTTATTGATCTTGGCCAGCCCAGTCCCTTAAGCCCTGATAACCTCTAGGCCTGCAAAAGTTGTCTCCCCCAAACCAGACTCCTGGGGAAGCAACTTTACCAGATGAAGTTCACCCCAATTCTAACAGCCTGGCTGGAGAAGAGAGATTAACAATCTGTGGGTCATATGTTGTAAATCCACTTCACAGAGGGGAAAACTGAGTCTCAGAGGAGTAACTTGCCCAAGGCGCCTGGTGAGTTGCTGGCAAACGCAGGACTCAATCTTCTTGGTATGCTCCTCACGACACAAAGATGTAGTCACAGAAATTAAAAGTGGGTCAGTAAATCCTTCTTTTGAACAGTTTAGCCAAACAGGTCCTTGTTTTTTTCTAAAAAGACCTTCAGTTATACCAATTCTGGCTATATTTATGCAATATTTACCATATGTAGGATGGTGCTCAGAACCTACACCTTACTAGGAGATGGTATTCCCATTTTCCACTTGGGAAAGAAGGTGCAAAGAGATAACATGAGCCCATCAGGAATCTTAACTGGAACACTACTGCAAGCCTGTAGTTTGCCACCAAACCTGCAGATGAAATGGCAAGGCAAAGAAAACTTGGTGGTCCGCCTGGAAACCACAATCGTCACTTAAAATTTTGTCATCCTGTAAAGCAGAACTCTCCCTTCTCTGTCATCTCATTTCTCATCCCAGCCAATAACTGGACAGAGGGAGCACCAGTTGGAATCCTGAAATTCCCAGGAGCCTCTTGCCCTGGCACATTCCCTTGGGCACTGTCTGCTGCACATAGAACCACTACTGCCCAAGCACTAAAGAGGTACCCCCTCTCCAATCATGTGCCTTTAAGCAAACCCCCAGATCAGCAAATAGTGTACCATTAAAGACTGCCTTTCTCCCTTCCTCCCCAGCATAGAGCCCTGACACAGGATTTCTAAGCTAATTCAGCCCAGACCTGCATAAAGTTTACCACATGCAAGATAGGGCAAGACCCAGCCTTGGGGATTCTCTGCAGGGTTTCACACAGAAGACCAGTGCTCCTGAGAACACAAGGTGGAAGCCAACCTCAGTACTGGGATCAACCTCCTCCAAGGAGGGGTCAGCATCTTAGAAAGAGCCAAGCTCTATGCCCTGTATCTTCAGTTCCAAGCTGGGCTCTACCCAGTGGCTCGAAAGAACCCGCATCTGCCAGAATCTGAGCTCAGAGAATCCCACTGCTATTTTCCTCTCTTAACCAACTGGTTTTTTCTTTAAAAGAATATATAGTGCTAACATCCTTCAAGGTCAGAGTTTAGAATTTAGTCCTTTTTTATTATTTTATTTTTTATTATTTTTATTATTTTCCTCAGTCACTGCCTTTGGTCTTATGTTGTACATTAATTGCCCATCTCTACTTTGATTTCCTTACTCCTTCTCAGCCTATTCCATCTCATTTATACTGTTCCTCAGCATATGTTTATTTGATTTCATCTTCTTTTATATGACTGTACCTTTTATTTAATTTTCACTCTGGTTTGACTCATGGGTTTTTACTTTTCAATTTCCCAGGCCAGCAATCTTGTGCAGCCCTCATTCCATTATTTGAGGCTCCTATTCATTTAGCCTTTGGTTTTCTCCACCTTGGGGGTTGGGCAAGTGAAACTGAAGGTACCCTCCAGGCACCCCACCTTGCGGCAGCCTCCAAGGCAGGACCCACTTGTAGGCTCCAACACCCTGGCCACCCCCGCCTCCCCAGGTACTCTTTCCACTGCATTGCCAATGCAACAGAGGGGAACAAATTTGACTCTGTATTGGATCTGTTCCTTTAGTTTCAACCACTGTGCGCTACTTTCTAGGCTCAGTCTTGCCAGCTCTGCACCTT